ATATAATTAATTTGTTATTAAAGGATATAATTAATTTGTTATTAAAGAATATAATTAATTTGTTATTAAAGGATATAATTAATTTGTTATTAAAGGATATAATTGCCTAAGAAGAGATAGAGCTGAAAGAAATGGAGGTGGGACATTTAAAATCAAGGAATTCAATTAGAAAAAGGAATATAACAGAATACATGGGGGATTGATGACACAGGGGTTAGAGAATATGAGCCTGTGAATAGAAGGTCGCTGGTTCAACTCCCTGGACAGACAACATCAAAAATGTGGGTGGGAAACATGAAACACCCACACCTGCCTCCACCCTCATTTGCCCCACAATGGGCCCTTGAGCAAGGCCTCTAACCCCCACCATGTGCTCCCTCAGACGCCATAGATAGCAGCTCTGTGCTCCACACAGAGGCTGTGGCAGCTCAGTGGTCTGTGGTTGTGTCAGGAGAACATCCGGCGTAAAAACAATCACCAAGTCTTCGTGTGTGTTAGTTTGCTGCAGCGACCCTGAAGAAGGAGCAGCTGAAAGAAAAAACATAATTTTAATAGACATTTTGATGCACACTCCATATCCGTAGGTGGCAGTAATGCACACCTTCCATCGTTTGTCACCTGTCATAAAATAGTGGCGTGAGATGCTGCAAAATTTGGTATTGATCGATGCCAAGTAAATACAGGTCCAATATCGCCTATATTGATACCGATACGATACTTTTTAATAATTACGCTGAATTTTGATGACGTTTAAGTGTTTTGTGATTTTTTTCCTTTGGAACATTTATCATTTAAAACCTAGGATAGAATTAGGCAAAGTTTATAAGTAAATAAAAATACTTTATTATAATAATTTTTTTTCTGAACAAATGGAACAGTAAGAAAATTGTCCCCTCCCACCATGTGATGGCTGCAGTTTATACTTAAAGAAAGAGCACAAAATGATCACTCAAGAATAAACTAAAACATTGTGTTCAGAAACTATGATAAATAAAAATATCCCTTCATTGCACTCCTTTTCTGGATTTTTTTTTTCTTAAATAAACTACATATCACACGGCAACAACTGTTATAAAAACAGTAAAATATATAGAATATATATAGAAGAATAAAACAACATGTCTCCTCTTAAGTGAATTTCTCTTCTGGGTTTGAAAAAACAGACTACAAACCAAAAATAATTAGTGCAAATACAGTTAATAAAGTGTAAATAACAAAACAGCCTCCAAAGCCTTGAGTTCAAGTCCATATTCCCAGCAGCCTCTCTGTGGGCCCTGCTGCTCTGTGCTGGGACAGGAGTGGCACCCACACACTCAGCTCCATCTTTGATGAAACAGCAGCCGTGCACACAGGAGAGAAACTGAAGATAAACTATCAATCTCATTGCACTGGTATTGATCAATATCAATACCCGTGCTGTTATTGATGATAATCGATATTTGGATCGATGCACCCACGCCTACAATAAAACACTACAAGAAGAAGATAAAGCCAGCCTCATGGCACACAAGCATGGGTTCTCAGAGTTGAAGGATGTCCAGTGTGTGACACGTGTGAGGACTTAGTGTCTGGTTTTTGTCAGAGGTCAAATGAGAATGGTCAGACTGGTTTGAGATGTAGGAGTGGTAGCTTAACTTAAAACAAACACTCGTTCTTTGGATACCATCTCTGAGCACACATATCCAGCCTAGAAGCTGATGGATTAAGCAGCAGAAGACCACCCCAGGTGCCTCTCTAAAGAACACTAAACTGAGGCTACAGTTCACACATTCACCCAAATTTGACCACGAGACTGGAAAATATTACATTTTTGGTCTGAATACTGGACTTCAATAGTCAGCCACCAGATCTCAATCCAGTCAAGGCCTTTTGGCATTGAGTGAACTGGTCACATCATGGACAGTGCAGGGGACAAAGCCGCAGCAGCTGTGTGATGCTATACGCCGATGGACCAGAACTGTTGAAGACGCTACACAAAGAATTAAGAACCTGGTACTAATTCAGTTTCATTTCAGTTTATTTCACCAAATCGCAACAGAAGTTGTCTCAGCGCACTGTCCAGAAACAGCCACACATGATGAAAACCTAAACACTAACAAAGTGGACCTAATAAAGTGGATGGTGAGTGTGTATATCAAAAATTTCCATACGGATTTAAACAATCTTGAAAAACAGTGAAGAGAGGAAATACTCTATTGTACTTGCTAAAAGCTATTTAAAACAGTAAAACAGTGTTTTGTAGTAACCCGGGTCATGTTTTCTCTTCTTGTTCACTGTGTGGTGAAAGGTGAGGAGATGATGGCAAATACTTGTACACACGTATACGTCTGTATGAGTTTTATTACTTTTTGTTGATACTGTAAATACACGTTATTCTATGGACATTATACACCTGTACACTATGTATATATTTCAAATGTTACTACCTGTATATACTGTATTATGTACTTTTAACCTTGTAATTGTAAAGTCCTGCAAATACATGGACTTTGAGTTATTTATTCAGTGAACAGGACTTTGGACTGTTTGTGGAACATTACACAGTCGCCCTACATTCATCTTTGTTACTGAACAAAGCAGTTCTTAAATAAAAGACACTAAAGTGAATAAAAACTAAAAGAAGGAGTTTGTTTTCTTTGACATAAACTATGAAAGTAGCCACAGACTTTTAAAGGAAGACCCATTCATGCTGGACAATGACAGCTGTTTTATCCAAACCTTGTAAATAAAGTTATGCACAAATAAATACTTGTTGTATAAAGTTTTAGCTCAGTCTGTAAAACTAACAAGGTTATGGTTGTGTTTAAATAGGTCAGTTAGTTTTCTCCACCTCCTGAATGACATGAAGTTATTCACATCTATGCTGGATTAAAACCTTTACTGGTTCGTGAGATATTTTGCTAACAGACACAAACACACGTATACACCACACAGACACGGACAAAAACACGATCGTCTGCCTTTGGAGGTCTTGTGTGAAAATCTGTTCCCCTGTGTCGGGAGCGCGCACTGCAACCAGAGAGGCGGTCCGACCGGGTCCGACCGGGTCCGACCGGGTCCGACCGGGTCCGACCG